CGGAACGCTGGAGGGGGGTGCGCGAAGCAGCGTTCCCGGGCCCCGGTCTTTGCCCCCCCCAATGAGAGCCGCTGGGTTGCTTCAGCGGGGAAGGCGCTGGGCCGGGAACCGGGAGACGGTGCCAAAGAAAGAAAAGGAGGACTTTTATTTTATTTATATTTAGTTATAAACAAAATTCATAGGCCACTCAACTCACAGCAACTTTGACAAATAGGTTACCAGGTCCCCTCACCATATAGCACCCAAATTTGGCTTAATGTTGGACTCTGACCAAGCTATGAACAAACAATTTAAGGCCAAAGGCTGTTGCAACATCTCTCCACTTCCCCATCTGCAGGATTCATTGCTGATGCTCAACAAGACAAGGGCAGATATAGTTGAAGGAACAAGAATATCTACATTCAGGATAATTGCTAAATAACTTTCCACCACTTAGGAACCACCCTACAATTGGCAATATTCTTTATTTGTGCCTGAACGCAAACCAGCTCCAACTTCTCTTCTGCGTAGCCTCACATTATCCGTAACAGGAATTAGGAATCAAGGCAGTTGTGCTGTATTTTAGCGCAATAGAAAGAGTTCTGATCCTTTGGGATGGAGAATCCTTCTTCGATGCCAGTTCACTGCCTTCATGTTGGCTGTGTAAGATGACCTCCAGCATCTTATCTAACTCCCTCTGGGGGAGATGGGTGGCATATAAATTTAATAAATATAAATTTAATAAAGAAGTCATGAGTGGGAAAGGAGGAGATAGAGGAGGTGGTGGGAGGGCTTTGCCCCCGTAGGACGTTACTGCATCATGCCTCTTTCTCAACTGCAACAAGGCTTATCAAGCAGCTTTGCCTCTGTTGGGCAAAGATAGCCTGCTGTTGCATGGGGAGGCTCTCGTCTAGCTTGGCAAAAGCACAGGAGCCTTTCCAGTATGAAAATCCAGGCAAGGCGTTCCCAAGATTCATGCATCTACAAGCATTTCCTGTGAATTCTCAATGCTCCCCACCCTGATTAACTCTTGTAAGATGCAGACTCTCCTTAAGGGCAAGCAGAAGTCACCAAATAAGAACCACAGTATGCCGAACCTTTGAACCTCCTTATTTAAGCCAAGCGAAGATACTTGTGCACGCGCACCCCTTATAATGCGTTGATGCTGAATATGAACGAAGCAGACACAGCAATAATCTAATTCCAGTGTTCAAGGTTATCCTGCTGCAGTAACATCCTATTTTTAGAATCATCATCAGCTGTTCATCACCAGCCATTATGCTAAAGACTCCCCTCCCTTCTTCCCCTGCGCTCAGCCCAGGAAAAGAGAAGGGGGGGGATCTTCCTGCCTGACCTCTATTGCCCCCTTTCCCAGACCCCAAAGGTTTGACATGCAATTCCTCCTAGACTGCTAACTGCTCCTGGGTTCTGTATAAGTGCTAACTGTCATTACTGAATACCTTGCATGGACTGCTGTTGTATGCCTTTACCCTCAAATATGCCTTAATCAGTTGCCCTGGTGGGCTGGTTGGCTTATTTATTTATTAAATTTATATGCCACCCATCTCCCCCAGAGGGTTATCATCGCTGCCCTTCTGGACTTCTGGAACACATGTGGGTTTAACAGCTACCGGCGTTTCACATCCCAACTCTATTGGCCCTGCAGGAGGACCTGATGCCAAACGGGGAAGCGAAAGGCCACCAGCTGTGTCCCTCCTCCCAGCCAGCAGGGGAAACGAAAGCCCTTCAGTCCACACGTGGCCAGCCACAGGTGGCATTTCAGATGGCTGGTTAAAAAAGGAAGCCGAAGGGAGGAAACCCAGGGAGCTGAACAAAGCTGGCTTCTCTGCGAGTCTCTCTAATCTTGCCACAAAACAGGATGTTCTTTCAGGGCTCTTCGTCTTCATTCAAGTTGGTAGTAAAATCTCAGTAAAATCCATCATGAAAAGAATCAGAATCGACTTTCCCCCACGTTGTGTGGGTTTGTATCTTCTCACAGGGGCAACACTAACAAGGGTTCCTGGTGCTATTCCAGTTCTTGGCATAGGGGGCAGAGGCATGGCGTCGATCGTAGGCTTGTTGACGGCGCCTTGCTGGCATCTTACGGGACCCTCTTCGGGGTCCTCTGCGTAGCAACCTGTAAGGGGCCCTGCCGCCTCTGTGAGTAAAGAAGTCCAGCCAGAAGCCATTGTGATGGATTTCTGTAGGGAAGCAAGAGAGAGACATTAGGGAAGAGGGGCAGAGCAGAAGGCATCAAAGCTAAGCAGCGATGCTGGTACGCTGGAGCGGAGGGTGGGAGTTCATAGGCACATTGGGCTGATCCACTGATTGGCTTGAAGACGCCTGATGCGCTGTTTGCCGTCCGTGCATGCTCAGCCTCCCTGCCTGCCAGCAATCACTCAAGGAGTGGCCAACCAGGAGGCCGTGCTGCTCCAGCACACTTTCCCAGAAGGCAGCTGGGCATGAGGGGGGCAAGGATCAGGCCAAGACCACCGCCTGAACATCAAGGACTGGCTTTGGCTTCACTCCCACCTGCAAACTGCATGGCGCTTCTAGTCAAGATTCTTCCCCTCTTTTCCCACCCAGCCCGCTCGCTTGGCTCCTTCTTCCTATCTCTTGCTTTCAGAGACAGTCCAATCCACACTTCTCCAGAGCTTTCCTCCTGGCCCACTTCCACCCAAAAACTTGGGTCCAGCCTCTCCCCACCCTTACGTTGGCCAGGAAAACCAGGAGCATACCTCCTTCCATGTGCAGTGGAAAGCCTGCATCATCTTCATCTCCATCTGTGGACCATGGGCCATTCCTAGCGTCGTGCTGGACAAGAACATCACTCCTAGGATTAAGTGGGGGCCACAGAGCCCGCTCAGGCAAACCTATGATCCTGCTGTCACAACCAGCACCATGTGAGACAGGAGAATAATCATGGGGAAAGGAGGGAAGACCTTGCTCCTGTTCAACAGAATTTATGGGCCTGCTGGCATAGCCAGCATCTTCTGGGACATGAGAGGAACTGCTGGGATGGAACTGGAGTCTTGCTTCCTGTTCAGCAAAACGTGTGGGCCTGCCATCTTGGAGGGTGTGAGAATCATTACCAAGATAGGATTGGACACATTGCTCCTCTTCCAAAAAATGTATGGATCTGCTATCACAGCCAATACTATTTGGGCCACAAGAATAACTTGGACTGGGTTGAGGGTGATGCTCCGGTTCAATCACACTTACGGGCCTCGTTTCATAGCCAGCATGAAGCGGGATGTGAGAATAATTACTGTAGCGTTCTTGTTCAGAACATATGGGCCAACTGCCACGGCCCACATGATCTGGGGCATGAGAAAAATAACCGGGATTGGGCTGGGGGTAGCACTCCTGTTCAGAACATATGGGCCTGCTGTCATGGCCCACGTGATCTGGGGCAGGAGAAAAATAACCTGGATTGGGCTGGGGGTAGTGCTCCTGTTCAGAAGAACATATGGAGCTGCTGTCATAGCTGGCACGAGGCTGGGTGTGAAAAGAATTTCTGGGATTTGACAGATCAACATAGGGCAAGAGATCCTGGTCATGTGGAACTCCACCATTAGGGCCACTCATGTGGCTTCCATTGTGCTGGATGGGACGACTGAGCTGGGTGGACTGGTAACCTCGACCCCACCTTCTTCTGGGCGTGTGTTTGTACTGGGCATTACGAGGGCCATAAGTCCTACTGAAATTGAATAGGCTGCGGGGTGAGCTGCTCGTCCCTTGGAAAGGCTGATGGGTCGGTGGCATGGTCCTCCAGGGAGAAGGCTGTTGATTCTTGGCACTTTCATCCCTCTGAATCCCTGCAAATTAAGAAGATGGAATGATACAGGGAGGTTGCTGTTCCAGCAGAAGAATGGCCTGGTTTCAAACTCCCATGGTTGACTTGGGCGGGGGGAGGGGGATCACAGCGCTGGAATCCCACGGTCTGCCAATCTGTGCTGCACCCAGAAAGCACCCAGTTGCCCACTTAGCATCACTAAGTGGTGGTCAAGGATGAAGGGACAACCAGGCCACATTGGGCGCAGATCATGGGAAATACAAACGCTCATCAATTCAATGGCGTCAAACAAGACATTAGCAGCCGACGCTAAAGTGAAATGGGCAGAAGTCGGGGCAAATTGAGAGTGGGGCCTTTGCTTCTGTTCTGTTCCAAATGCAGGCTTCGGGTTGTCACCTGCTCTAATTATTGGGTGGGGAAGCACAAAGATTCAGATCTCAAACTCTAAATGAACTTCATGAAAATGTAGGAGAGCAGAATCGGGACTTGGGTTTCTCAAGGGGAAAATGGTCATGTTTGTCCCAAAATGCAGGTCTGGCTTTGACTGCAGTACAGGGTGTTTTTCCCCCCTTAGTCCCATAAAACCCATTCAAGACTTTGATAGCCTTTAGGGTTCCTTGAAACCAATTTGAGAAAAAAACCCTATCGGTGTTCAATCTTTCCCCATGATTATATAGATTATGTATTTAATTTAATAAAAATTATATATATACAATTTTCGTGACAGCAACATCAGGAAGTGACAGGAACGTCAGGAAGAAGGAGTAGGAGCAGCGGGAGGAGGGCCAGGGCCTGGCGGAGGAACTGGAGAGGGTGTGGCAAGACCAGGCCCAAGGGGTCCCCGTGGTG